TCCATGACAGGAGTGTGGGGACTGAGTGTTTGCGGTGTTTTGTTTGATTTGGAATTGTAGAGCTCAATTAGGAATTAAGGTAAGCGTAGGGACAGAGCTATTAAGGAAATTGGAAGGGAACAGACAGTCCTGGAATGTGACAACTCCTGTTTGATTTTAAATGTAAGTTAAATATTAATTATTCTAAAAAAAAATCCCACAGAGCACCCCCTTCTTTTTTTTTTAAAGATTTTATTTATTTGACAGACAGCAATCACAAGTAGGCAGAGAGAGAGGAAGGGAAGCAGGCTCCCCGCTGAGCAGAGAGCCCCATGGCAGGCTCCATCCCAGGACCCTGGGATCATGACCTGAGCTGAAGGCAGAGGCTTTAACCCACTGAGCCACCCAGGCGCCCCCCCTTTTTTTTTCTTACACTGATAGATTGTTGGTGGCTTGCCTCACACACTAATTTATTTGGAGGGGAAAAGAAAGTCTTCAGATGATCCTTTTTGCGTAAGAAAAAAGTCTTCCAAACAGCTCCCTGTCGCCAGCATCAACAGCAGCTGAACAGGGTTCAGTTGTTGCATAGTGAGAATTATTCTTTTCATTTTAAAGGAATCAAAAATGTTTGGGGCAAACAAGAGCCCTGGTTACACATGATCAAAATAAGGAAATATTAGATTTGCTTATGGAAAGTGTTGATAAAGTCTACTGCTGAAGTCTGAGGACACTTTGTATTGTTCCACAAGGATTTTGAAGAAAGGAGAGAAGTCAGCTTTGAAAACTATGAAGATTTGGAGAAAATAAAAAACTCCTGAGGATCTCCTCTTTTCTGAATTCCTTCCTGCTGGAGGTTCCCTAAAGCAAGTGGGTACTATGATGCTGTTGACTTGCAAACAGAAGTCGAAAGGAAATTCAAGCTTTTGTCAAAATTCATTCCAAATATAATAAAAAAGGAAGTGATTGAATCCCTTTTAAAGCTTTTGGATGGATTCTCTTGTGCTTTGGCTGTTCTCTGACTTTGTAAGGAATGGGGAACAAAAGCGAAATTGCACTCTCCCCATTCATATCCATCTTAACAGACATTCCAACATCTGCCACTTCCAATGGCTCCCTTTTCCACATCATCTTTTTTATTACTTTCCTGCATTTTTCTTTCTTTTCTCTTTCTAAAAATCTCACAAAGCTACCATCATCCAGTGCTCCGTGACACGAAGCATGTATGTTTGACATTTCGGTATGTAAAATGATTCATCGACTCCTGCCACTGTTAATCTATGTGATCCATGGGCCTAAGCTTCCTCATCTGTAATATAAGGAAATTGATTAAGATTTGCAGTGCTTAAGCTATGTTCTACCACAATGTTTCTCAACTTGAGCACTGTTGATACTTGAGGCTGGATAATTGTTGTAGGAGACACTCCTGTTCATTGTGGGATGGTTAGCATCATGCCCGGCTTTTATCCATTAGCTGCCATTAGTACAACTGTACTCCTCTTCCCTAGCTGTGGCAACCAATAGGGTTTCCTGGAGGGTAGAGGGAAGAATTGCTAACTAAAGCAGTGCTTCTCAAACATTGGTGACTATAGGAGCCCTGGGGAATGTAGTAGAAACATGAAGGCCCATACATGATTCTACTTCAAGAAGCCAGGGCCTCTGTGCCTTTTACTAGTTTTTAGATACACAACAAAATTTGAGAACCACTGTTCATGAGGAATCATACTGATGAAGTGACTCTCAAACTACGATATTGTGCAAAGAGCCTCAGGAACTTTTTAGAGTTCAAGGAAGGAAGGAAAGAGGCAGTCATCAAGGGATTTGTTAGAAACGCACATATTTAGGCTCCATCCCAGACTTAGGGAGTCAGAAATGCTGAGGTGCAATTCAGTTGTCTAAGAAATGGCCCATGTAAAGAGAAACTACATTCTTGGTACACCCAGCAAGACGTACAGATGTGTAGAAGTATGAGAGACCCAGGGAGGACTGCCTTTCAAACACAGGTTGATGCCACTGGGTAGAGCACTGCTTGGAATCAACTTCTCCATCCTGCATGGCTCTTATTGCTTTACGGTCATGAACACTTGTTCTGACCCAGTCTTACAAGGCAGATCAGATTGCCCTCCTTGGGGAGGAGGTATCTGAGGGGCGGCATGTCTCAGACTCATCAATCCTCCATAGCACCTGAGGTCCTGATCCTTAGCCTTCCTCTTTGGGCTATGGTATCTACGCTAGACTAGTGGTTCTGAATCTTGGTTTCGTCTTAGAATCACTGAGGGAATGTAAAACAAACAAACAAAAACCCCCAAAACTTAATGCTGGGACCATACCCCAGACCAATTAAGTCAGAATCTGAGAGCCAGATAGCTGTATTTCTGCCCTTTGCAGGTGATTCCAGTGTTCAAGCAATATTGAGATGTCAATGAAATGCTTCCTATAAAGTCGTGTAGGATTTTTATAGAGGGAAATAAGGAAGAAAGATATGTAAAAAGTTTGAAAATGGCCAGTTTGGGGGATCAGTAGAATGTCTGGTATGGCTACAGACTCTTAAGCTTTTGATTCTGTGCCAATACTAGAGCTTTCCCCAAGTTTTCCTAGATCCTTCCACTAGAAGCTATCTTTGCAGTTTCTGCATTTCCATATTACTTTGAATTGAATCTAACATGTACCACATTCTACTGTTACAGGGTTGCACTGTTCTTGTCTCACCAATATGAAAAATGAATCTCATGAACACGAAGGGAAAAAAAGTGAAGTGAAAGCTTCTTAAGTGAAGACATGAACAGAAAGGAAAGAAAAAGAAAAAGAAAAAAAGAAAACACAACTCTTGAGTGAGAAGGCTCCTGAAAGTGTTGGCACTGGGGTCTTTTATTAGAAAACTGACCAAGGAATCTGGTAAATTTCTTATCAATATCATGTCACATTTGTAAATATCATGAAAACTTCTTATTTTTATTTAGAAGCAACATGGTGGACTTGTAACTGTCATGAGAACAAACAAGGTATCCCCTTCTCTCTGGTTAATATCTTACGTATAACATTTCTTCATATCTGGGATTTCTGTGAGTCTCCTTAAGTAGCCCCCTGCTGTTCATGTAGCCCCTTACCTGTTTCTCCTTACCTAGCCTTGCCTGTCCCTTACTCACTACCTTGTGCTATAGTCACATATATGCAATTTGTCTCCTTCCTATACAACACTATGAGGTTTCAGGGAAAAGAACCCTGGCTTAGTCATCTCTCCCTTCTCCTAGAATATCTAATTGAGAGTAGGCATCCATAGATAGGAATTTAACTGATGTTTTATAAAATGATGTGGACATGACACCAAATGTAGGGATAATCTATAGCAAAGCCTCCTGGAACTTTATCTCCAGTCACACAGGAGGACTTCCTGGCCTAGTGTGCTTCAAAACTTTCCACAAGTGCACTGATAACTCCAGTCTCTGAGTCTTATCTGAAAAGAAAGAGAATCTCTAGAGAAAAAGTCTGGGCGGATGACCCAAGTACAAATTCTGGCATACTGAACATTCAAAGCTTTCAGTGCACGATCAGCTCCAAACTGGAGCTTTTCCATCAGTGAGATGAGCCAGAATGAGTGAGGTCTGGTGAAGAAAAAATAATAACAGCATGATTCTTTGGTGTCCCTTGAAATTACAAAGCCAAGGCTGCTCATGGTCAGAGTGGTCAAACCCAACAAAATGAATGAAAGCACGAGCATAAAACCCCAGCAACCTTCTCAGCATAGTGGGGATTCCACAGGAAAGACTTTTTTTGAACATTCGCATCAAATACTTGATATGTGTGGCTCTTTCCCATCCCCCTCCCCTCTTTCTCACCATCCCAGTGGCCAAGGAGACTTTGGGGAAATTGCCACAGGCACTAGAACACAGGAATGCCTTCAGGAGGCAGGTTGGAGGAGTCAAGGGTCCAGTGAGTAACCTCTCCGGAATCTCTTTGAGAGTCTGGAGCCAAGGTACAGGAAAGAGGGGAACACCGTGCCTCAGAAGGTATTTATGGGAGAGGAGAAGCAGAAGAACATGAAAGCCTCCAGCGAAAGTTGTGTTGAAGTCTGGCAAGCATTCTCATCTCTAGATTGATGTTCATTGCTTACGTCCGGGGTCCTGGGATTTTGAATTGCCTCTTTAGCTTTTAGAATAAGAATTTATATCTGAAAACCATTTGATGTGTTGAGATATTTGTCTCATAGGGGATGAGGAAATGGAGACTCACTGCGCAAAGGCACACAGTTGGTACACTAACGGGCAGACTGTAAGGACAGTCTCGCCGTCTTCCAAAGGTTCCCCAGGTCCTGTGATAGGGTCTAGGCCCAGAAAAGTGGGCTATTTTGCTTCTCTCTCGCCCCTACCCCTGCTCCAATGCAGACACACACACCCCTGCAAAATGGGGTGCGAAGGCAAGGGAGGGACCCTTGGTAAGGGAAGGAGCTGCAAGCTTTTGATTCCACAGGCCCAGGTTTGAGTAGTTTCTTTCGCCTTTTTACAGTTCTACACACTGAACTCATCACCCGCCTTTCTCCTCAAGCCTCCGCCCCTGGTGCTCTCCTCCCAGCCTGAGATGGAGCTTCAGTGCTTCTTCTAAAGGTGAAGGGCTCTGCAAACTGCGAGGTCCCGCACCGATTCCAGAAAATGTATGAGTCCTAACGAGAGTCCTAACGATACTCCTAACCTCACTGAGCCGGGTTTTATAAAGCGAGTATTTCCGCCCATTCTGCCACGCACAAGGGAGCGCACGTGGAAACCTCTCGCCCTGGGCTGGCCTCAAGCAGCGCCCGCTCTCCGGCTGGCACGGGGCGGTGCTGCGCCTGGCGTGCCGGCGGCGAGGTCCGGGCCTGCAGGGCGCGCTGAGTGCCGGCGAGCGGCTCGCGGAGGCTCGGGCAGCAGGAGGAGCGTGCGAGCTGTGGGCGTCCCTTTAAGAGCGGACGGCCGACCCGGCCTCCGCCTCTCAGTCCGCTGAGCGCTGCTGGTCACCTGGGGCTCGCGGGGCAGCCGGATCGCGAAGGGGCAGCCGGATCGCGGCGGGGCCGGCGCTCTCACCGCGGAGGTGGGAGACGCGACCCTGACGCCAGGTGCCGGGAGCCGTCTGGGAGCGTGGCCGTCCCGCGCCTCTCCGCGCCGGAGGATGCGGGAGCGCATCTGGGCGCCGCTGCCGCCGCCGCCGCCGCCGCTGCTGCCGCTGCTGCTGCTGCTGCTGCTCCCGCCGCCGCTGTGGGGCGGCCCCCATGACAGCCCGCGCCCCGAGCAGCAGCGTGAGCCCGGGCCTCTGCAGCCCTTCGACCTGCTCTACGCCAGCGGCGTGGCCGCCTACTACAGCGAGGACTACGAGCTGGCGGTGCGCGACTTGGAAGCGGCGCTGCGCAGCCACCGGCGCCTGCGGGAGGTCCGAGCGCGCTGCGCCCGCCACTGCGCCGCACGCCGCGCGCTCGCGCCCCCAGGCGCCGGTCCCGCGGCGGAGCTGCCGTTCTTCCGCGCGCTGCTGGAGCGGGCGCGCTGCTACCGCAGCTGCCAGAGCCAGCGCCTCGGGGGCCCCGTGTCCCGCCACCGCGTCAGCGAGGATGTGCGTAGCGACTTCCAGCGCAGAGTGCCCTACAACTACCTGCAGCGGGCCTACATCAAGGTACGCAGAGCGCACCGCTAACCCCTGCGACTCCGGGACACCCTCGAGAGCCCTCTCCCCCGCCCCAGTCCCGGAGCCCGCGCTCTGCTCATTAACCTTTAAGGGTGGGTCTCCTCGGACCTGCCTGTCCCGCCTTTGTGCCGCTAGGGATCTGGTGGCCCAGGCTCGGTAACAAACAGTAGGTGGAACCTGCGCAAGCCTGTAGCTCCTTGGGCATCAACTTGCCTCTTGAAAAGGGGACTGCATTGATAAAATGATGCTTAAAGTACCCATTCAGCACTAATTCCTGAGACGTGGGCAGAGCTGGGTTTAGTGTAAGGTCTACTCTCGCTTCATTTCTTGGTCCAACCTCACCCCCGTTTCTCTTCCTTCTCCACTCCCCCATCCCTCCTACACTCTACCCTGCACCTTTTCTCTGAAGTTTACAAGAAAACATCCTCATAAAGCAGAATTAAAAGTTGACTTGCTCTGGAACAAATGTGTTATCCTCTAATCTCCCCTGAGCCTACAAAACAGTAAAGATCAAAAGTTAAAGAGAAGGTGTGGTGGGAGAAGTGGATCTCTGTGAGTCAGTCTTCGTAAAAATACCCAAAGTGCTGACTGTGCCCCCTTTACTAGGCAACTTCCAATTCCTGGAGGTAAGCATTGGAGTGAGTTATTTGACATCAGATGCCCAATATTCTCCTTTGGGGTTTTGTGTGTGTGTGTGTGTGTGTGTGTGTGTGTGTGTTCAGCCTGCCTGAAGTTAGTGTCAGGAGGTATTCTGTGTATATTGGTATTTTATCCACATTCACAATTTTGAAGATCTATCTGGATGCTTCAGCAGAGAGAATTCAGTCTGTGCTTCTGGAAACACCCCTCTCTCAACCCATGTGGCTCTGAACTTACACTTTCTCTCATACTCTCTACTTTCTGGGTTTTATATCAATGGGTCAGTGTCTCCTCCACACCTGCTAAAGTGGCAGCTTTGTGGGTTGTCCTCCACTAGCATTAGCCAATAGGCCAAGCTGCGTTTCTAGGGTGGCAGATATACACACCATGTATAGATCCACATGCACACTGTCCCACAAGGTCTGGGCTCCTGTGGGAAGGACACCCTGGACATGTGCAGTTGTTTGTGGAGTTCAGGAAATCACAACTGAGAGGAACTCTGAAGGCCCAGTGCTAGGGCCAAGGGGCCGAGGTACACTAGACTAATATCTTGCGTAAGAAATGAGGATCAAGCCTGAACCTTTCAAGGATTTGTCTTCTGCTTGTTTTTGCTTCTTGATGAATTTGCTAAACCATGCATTAAGTATAAATCTGATCTTTTTTTGGATGAATGGCCTAATTTTTGGTGGTCTTAGAGAATCAGTCAGTGGCAGAGATGGAGGAGACCTTAAGTACCTGACAGCAGAAGACATCCTGAGCCAGTTCCCAGGATAGAACATGGGTAGTTGAGTTTGGTCCTGTTAGCAGGTCTTCCCAAGAGTCTCCGATGTAAGGCTGGCACTCTTGCTGATAGTTCTGTCACACATTTGGGGGAGATTTTCCTTTCTCATGTCTGGAGAAGAAATGAATATTCTTCTCCAGTCCTATAAAAACAAATAACCATGAGGTAACTCTCAAAATGTGGGTTTCTCTAGTTCTGTAATTAAGCTTACATCACTGTTAATGTTACATAGATCAGTCATTCTGCTTCAGTCCCCTGGTCAGAGGTCAAAGAAGGTGAGCTTGTAGGTTTGAGATGCCTCAAATTTTTGCAGTGAACTGGTTATAGGAATTAGTTACTCATGGGCACCTTTGTGGGTGAACTGTTGGGTGTGATCTGATGAAGCAACATAGTTTTAACAAGTTCTCCCCAAAATATGTGAACCCATGTCCTAATTTCTGTTTGACCAGCAGTGTTCGTAAGAACAGAGTAAGTATCTTCTAGTAAGCAAAGCTTCTTGCATCTATATAGTTGATGATCTCTTAAGGAGGAGATACTTGTATTTCTTTGGAAACTCACTTTTGATGGTTGAGTTTGTAGGATTGTCTCTGTGAACATGTAATAAGGTGTACCATGCTTCTTCCCCTCCCCTCTCCTAAGAGCTCCACAATTTCAGTCTCTGCTTGGCTTCCTGGGAATTTTAATCATAAACACATGCATGCGTGCACGCACCCATGCACGCAGACACCGTCCTTTGAGAGTAAAACAAAGCTCTCAAATAACAACAAGGTGCTGTCAGGCTCTGACAAGTCTGAATTCAGAAGTGTTTACTCCCCATTGGTAGAATGTGCAGTTCCCCGGATGTGCTCAGATAGGAGCACGGCCCCTCATGTTGTTGAATAACCTTGGACCTCTGTGATCCAGTTTGCACTTGAAAAGGATGCTCCTGGGCCACGTTGAATTCAATGGGGAGTTTGCAGCCAGAATTTGAAAACTATGAATCCTGTAATATGGTCAGAACTAGCGGGCTTCCTAGAGATAAGGAAGCACAGTTATTCCTGTGTTAGGATCTCCCAGCTGTAGAAGCTCTTGGGAGCTGCTGCTTCTCCACTGGACCCCAGTTAGTGAGCCACCGATGGAAGCAGATCTCTTCTCCTGGTGTGTCGGAGAGGAAAATGTATTGAGAATTATGAAATCCGAGTCCCGACAAGTTCAATTTCTCATTTCACTGATGAAAGGGAGAGCCAGTGAGGGAAGGGGGCTTATTCAGTGTTACATATTTAATGGCGGAGCCAACATGATTTGATGAAAGGAGCCCAGGACTGATATTCGGGAGTCTGGCCTTTGCCAATATCTGATGCCCATGTCTGTGCTGTGCCCACTGCCCTGCGCGCCCCCCCTACCCCCCGTCGCCTCAGGTCCCAGGGCATGCTACAATCCCCAGGGCTCTCCTTCTGCCAGATTTGGACAGCTCCAGGGATGAGTAGGTCCTTGCCCTGTGGCGTAACAGAGACTCATTGCATTTATCTTAAGCTCTGCTCTGTAGAATATTCCTTGAGAGCGGGCATGTTGGGAATTTGTCTGGACAGTGATGAGGCAGTAGTTCCACCGGGTTCCTAGACACGCCTTTCTGTTTAAATGCAGGGTGAGACTCTTCAAACCCCGATTTTTATCATTTCAGATTGTAAGACATAACTCATGATTCATACCCCAAAGCCCGAGATAGAACTTTCATCATGGTATGCTCTGCTCAGAAATCTTCCTTGGTTTCTCCATGCTGCCTTATAAAGCCCACATAGTTGAATGCAGCATCCAGATCCTGCCTCCCTGTACCTTTCCCGGGGATATCTCCCCCACTCAACCCCCTCCCGCCAGACAGAAGGATGGCTGCTTGGTCTTCTCTATCTGCTTCTTTTGCATACCTGGGTTTTGTTTATTCTCTAGGAGGCAGGTGGGCTCTGGCTTGGGATAGATCTAGAACTGAAATTTACCTCTTCAGTCTCTGGCTGACCGTGAACAAATGACATACATTTTCTGAGGTTCGCTTTCTCCATGTGTAACATGGGGAGATAATAGGACTTACCTGATTGATTTAGGTTAGATTTAAGAGAAGATTTATGTAAGGTACTCAGAGCAGGGCCTGTTTCTCAAAAAACAATGGAGACCTGTTTCTTCTTATTATTAATTTGATAGTAGATTTTTCCTCCTCCTTCTGTACATGTTCAAATTGTAACTGTCCTAACCCAAATATACCTGTTTCTGTGAGGCCCTCCTTCACACCCTTTGCAACTCTCACAAGAACACCCTTTGGGGCACTTGAGTGGCTCAGTGAGTGAAGCCTCTGCCTTTGGCTCAGGTCATGATCTCAGGGCCCTGGGATCAAGCCCCGCATTGGGCTCTTTGCTCAGCAGGGAGCCTGCTTCCCCCTCTCTCTGCCTGCTGCTCTGCCTACTTCTGATCTCTCTCTGTCAAATAAATAATATCTTTAAAAAAAAAAAAAGAACACCCTTTCTGCCTCCTTTGAATGTCCACAGCGAGGAATCTCTTCCTCTCATGTTTCATTTTGGACTTTGTTCTTTCAGAATTTATGTATTTGCCTATCAGTGATGTGAACTCCTTGACATCAAAGAACTATCTTAGTCACTTTTGTATGTCCCAAAGTGGGAGTTTCCAGATTGGGATGATTATTAGGTAAAGGATTATTATTAATCATCTGAGCATGAAAAATATGATTTAAAATGAGGGATTTAGGTACTGTAGGTCTGAGTTGGTCCTCAGTATCTATACTCCCCAAACATCTATAATGTATATAGATTTACATACAAATAGATATATGTACATAGATGTATGTAAATGCTCAGCCTATATTTGTGGAATGAATAATAGCTTGGTTTCTTATGTATGAAATATTGTGGAGAAAGGTCTCTGAGTAGTGGCAGGGGGTTTTCTCACACTGGTTACTCGGTGTCCTGGCTGGTCAGATGCGGGACAAAGTCACGGAAAGACTAGATTCCTTGACTTCTCACTCTTTTCCTACTTGTAAGTTCTGGCTAATGTTGTAGAACTCTGTTCCTTTCCCCTCCATCTTTCTTTCCTAATTTAATTATTACTTAAAACTGTGCTTTAGAAAACCCTTGACACATTGTGCCTGCTTTACATACATTTGTTGAGTTTAAACAAATGTAAGAAAGATGTTTTTTTTTCCCTTATCTTTGTGCTTGATCACCAGGAATAGTTTTGACAGTGACTGTTTTTCTCCCACTGTTCCCAGCCACTCAATAAAAACAAAAAAGCAAAAAAACAAAAAGCAAAAAACTAGTGGCGCTTATTTTTTTATTTTTTATTTTTTTACTTAAAACAAGCTTGCCCCTGCCTGTTTTGTTTCTGAGTTGGTGCTTTTAGCCATTTGACCTTTGTTTTTCTTCTCAGGATTGAAGGGGGGTAGAAAAGGAAATAGCAATTAAGTTAGGCAATCCTATCTCCCTCCCAAAGTCCTCTCCCTAAACTCCCTTTCTCTTGACCATAATCTCTTTTATTAGTGGTTTCTAGAAAAGAAGAGTAAACTCTAGGAACTTTCTCACTTTTAATC